GCCCTAATCGAAAGTTCGATGGTTTACCGTTCTTAATAGCATGGTGGATGTTTCCATGCCTATGTTAGTCATAACCAGAGGGTAGCACCGTCGCTGGGATTCTTAACGGTCTATTCCACAAAGGCATATGGGATATGTATTGCATGGCATAAGCTGTGCTTTGTGGGTCCTTTTTGTTGAACTCCCTGCGTGAGCTTTTTTGGTGATATGGACATATTTATGTAATGATACCCACACTTTTGTTGATGAGATCCCCGCTTTTGTTGGGTGACATCCCAATTTCTAACTTGGTGAAAGCATTGGAATTCCCATGAATCATGGCTTATAAACTTTCCCTTTGGTTATTTATTTAGCATAGCTAAAGAAACTTAACCATTTATAGATGATTTATGATGATTTACCTTATTAAACATGGTGATTTTCCATAGCTACGTTAAATAACCAGAGCGTAAATCCATGTAAATCCCATTAAATCAGCATTAAATCCCATTAAATCACCATTGAATCATATTGAATCCCATATCTTGTAACTGGTGCTCCCTTTCTCTTTTTGGACACCCCGTGTCCACCCATGTTGCCGTGCCGTTGTGAACGCTAAACAGGGGCGGCTGGCCAATCGCCTACGGGCCGCCACGCTGAATCGAGCGAGGCGGATGTCATCCCTAAAAAAATGGATCTATGATGGTTAGATCATTAATCTATTTATTGGAATGTTTTTTTTATAATCCATATGATAGTTTGATATTATAATCCATAATCTATTTTATATACTAATATTAATATTATTATGGTATTAGGAAATCCATAATCATCCCCCGGTGGATTTCCACTACTAAATGCTATGACCTAGTTTTTTACAGAGTATTTTACCATCAACAGTTACCATTACATAATATTATTGATATTATATACTCATATTAATATTATTAATGCTAATAATCCACAATCATCCATTATAGTTTCATATTACCATAATATTATTGATATTATATACTATAGTTACTTGATGGTTAGATTTCTATTAATATTATGGTTATAATAATATCAAACCAATGGATCTGTAATGGTAACATCAATATTATGGTTTGATATTACCATAATACCATTGGTTATATATACGTATGTAATATTATTGGTGACCATTATATGATATGTAGATCATGGTTCTCCCAGCCTGAGAATGGTTGATCCAAGGTTGATGTAATTGAGACAATGGCTGATCTAACTAAGATAATGGTTTTTCATGGTTGATATGACTGATATCTAACCATCAACAAAAATAGGATCTATGATTATCTATGATGTAGGATCCCAGCCCCAGCCTGATAATCTTTTCATATCTATTCATGGTTATGGTGAACTATCAAGTCATCCCGACCGACTAAGAATCGATGGTTAAATGGAGAAACAATGAGAACCATTGTTGTTTTCATGGTTTAACCATGAATCATGGGGGTTTACAGTACTATGTATATATATATATATATGGCTAATATTTGAGATGATTATGGAGATCATCATGGGAATAATTATAGTAAATCCATTGGGTTTATGACATTGCGTATACCCCCAAGCGGGTATGGTTTACGATAGCCCTGAAACGGTTGATCATTGGATACCCCCATGACTGGGCCACTTGGGCCAGGGGGTTAGGGTGGTGTATGGAATGGGGATGGGATTTGAAGGGTTATTATGTCCATATGAGCTTAATGTATGGATGTATGGAATAGTTCGATACATCACTGGATCATTTTGGAGGTAAATGTTGATAGGTATTGCATGGCGCATCTGTTTTTTGGGGGTCAATCCGTTTTGTTTGTAGCTGCATCGGACCTTATATATGTGTAGGTTCATTCCCTTTTTTTCGATGGAACCGCACCGAGCACAACAGGTATATCTCCTCCCAAAAATGGAGTTCTACCAGTTATGAATGGGGCGTATAGTAGATCTTACATATGATGCTGACACCCAGTGCAAAAGAAATCAGATGGATACAGGTAGGTGAATGGTATGTAACCCCCACGCTGATGGGCATACTAAGGGTGCACTTTGGGTTATTTGAGTAATTATATAACTATACGGCCACTTAAGACAAAATACATGCTCATTGAGTGTAGCTGCACCCCGAAGTAGTGGACTTTACAAGGTAAAACATCCACTAGTGACCTATACAGAAAATGATCCCGGACACACAACGAGCAACATTATGGCAACAGATTGACTCATTGACTAACCAGTGGCCATATGTTCTTTCGTCAAGGCTTGGGGTGCAGCAATCTTCTGGTCGTCATCGCAAGTGAGGTTTTACCAATGTCATGCCGTGTTTTTTCAAGCACAATTCTGCCAATGTGTAAAAACAAACGAAACACCCCTGGGTGTCGACTAATTTTTGCATACTGGATGTATACATTTTTCTCGAAGACTCTCCAAGGTTTCCTGTAACAATTTTAAATTTACTCTTGGAACTTTGCGCCTGCCACGAGTTTGGTCATTTTTCTTCTTTGATCCAACATGTTGATTAATCTAATGAACGTGTTCCTTTTTCCGTCCCAAATCTTGTAGAAAACATGTTTGTTTTTTTCCACCGTAAAAATCCTAAAGTTTGGAATGCCATTGAAATTCCCAATTTCACTGGAAATGGGACAAATTTAGAAGTCTCCCAAATTGGAGGTTTATTGTTAGGAGATCTATTTTCCATCCAAAATTGGTAGAATATTATATATAGTGTGTATATATATAAATTATTTAATATATATATATACATATATATTATAATATTATGTATACTTTTCCAGCAGATCTAACGCCATCAATGGTCCAATCCATCGGCCCACTCGGCCGGCCCATTCCCCAGGCAGGCTCGGCAAGCCATGCAGTCCATGTTCCGACGACAGGCCTGGCAAAATGCGAAGATGCGAATATGATTAGCCTCCGGTTCATTTTACATAGTGGTTAAGCATGGTTAACAAGAGGTAATAATGGTTCAGAACATGTAATAATGGTTGATATTCCTTTATTACTGGTGAATCATGGTTTATATTGGTTAATAAAGGTTGGTAGTGGTTCATAATGGTTGATGGTGACTGATAGTGATTAGTGGAATTGCCGATAATGATACTTGGAGTATTGACGAATAAATTGGATATCCATTGATGGATAAATTCATAATGGATAATACTTGGACTATCTATATTTATTTATCTATCAATTTCATTGATAATATAAACTTTGACTATAATTTTGGAATAACGGGGTCCATATTTATGGGTGAATCAACATATCATTGGGGATGGTTTGATGAGATATACTGGGATATAATAACCATCCATGGAATAATGGGATTATATTACCCTTTGGTGTCATGAAACATGGCAAGCTGGGAAATCGGCCATAAATGAAGACTTTAATAAGAACATCATCAAACTAAATGGTGGCTCTTCCAGCAGGCCATGTTTGATTACGGCAGGGTATAATAAAGAATTATACAACATATGTTGCTTTTAAGTTTAATTCAAGTTTACTCATAGCAGATGGTCCATAGCTTATTAATCTTGGGGGGGTTACTGGTTACTATAATCCATTGGGCCCCAGTTGAAACAGGTTAAGTGCATATTTTGAAATAGAAAAGATAATCAGAAATACATGGATCCCTACTTTTCTGAAATAGATGTTTATATAAAAGGAATAGGGGGGTGTCTCATTATAATGGACCATTTTTTTTGGGAGGGGGTAATCCAAGCTAATTCAGCAACAGAGTTTATAAATCCTTCGGAATCCGGGGTTGACAACCTTGATGTGCTCGTTTCAAATGGGGATCTTGGAACCCAACAGCATTGATATATCATTATCTCAATGGCCATGCAACAGGATCCGATTGATTGGAGGTACCGATTCCATATATTTTTGGCCTATTTTTTAGGCCTATGTAAGGGAATATCCCCACAAAATATGGCCTTCTATGGTACAGTACCTCCATTTTAGGATCCTGGAATTCCCATTGATTATCTACTGTCACGTCTAAATGATAGAATATGTTATAATGCTATACGATGTTTGTATATTACACTATGCATAACCTAGATGATATCTAGGCTTGTCCCATATTGGGCTGTACCTGCGACTTGCCAGTTTTTGATTTAGTGTATGTTCTAAAATCATGGTTTTTTGGGTACCCTCTGGTAAACTAACATAGCAATGGAAAATCACCATGTTTAATGGGAAAATCTTCTATAAATGGCCATTTTTAATAGCTATGTTAAATTACCAGAGGGTACCCAATTTTCAGACATACACATAGTTTTTCCTCAGCTGCACTTGAAACAGTTGGTTGACAAATGAATGAATGGGGGCGAAGCCCATGGTTCTCCCGGCAACCAAACATCGCAGGATGGACTTCATTTCAGGAGCACAACTTTCGAAGGGTGCTGGGAGGGGCTTGAAAGTAGTCATGAACATCATGAACCATTCCACACCATGTAGAGGCTGCAAGGTTGTCACACAACACAAAACAGAGTTCTGATCTCTGAGCAGCCCCTAAGTGCGTTCAAATATATGTGTATACATATATACATATACAGTATATAATACATGTATATATATATATGTTGCAGGAAGACCATCAGGACAATTACACCTTTGGACACCTTTCGTTTCCTTTCTGCAACTGTTGGGTGGATTCAAGTTCTTTCCTTTCCAACCCTGGATGATAATCACCAGGGACTTTCATGTTTTTCAGGGGGCGTTAAAAGCACGAAGAACGTCGTGTCCCGCTCAGTTGTAAGTTGCTGTTGCTGTGTGACCCATCTAACTATAGTTCCAATCACCATATACAAGGTACATAGATGTATATACCCTCTGTCAATTTACATAACATAGCTATTGAACATGATACCTTTATAGGTGATGTTTCAGACTATTTGCCTACTCAAAATGGTGATTTTCCAGGCAAAATGCCACGTGACATAAAAAACCGGGTGACACCAGCGCCAACTGGGACAACGAGGACGCCGGGAATGATGGAAGCAGGTGACATTGGCAGAGAGGCCCTGGTTGTGGCCCAGTATAATGGACGGTTGTGGAAAGGCGTTCCCGACGGGTGATCAGAATCTCCAGTAAAATTGGTACCATCTGGTTTACCCAGCTATAAAATGGGTGGATCTTTCCATGGCAAACTGTGAATGTCAGTCATAACCACTACTCATCATTATATGGATTTATATTGGGGTTAATGGTGATTTAATGGTGATTTAATGGGATTTCATGGAATGTAATGTGAATTTAATGGGATTTTGATGGGAAACATATGTATCTGGGTAAACTAACATAGCCATGGTATAGATGGCCCATAGAAATCGATGGTTTACCGTTCTTAAAAATGGTGATTTTCCATGGCTATGTTAGTCATAACCAGATGGTAGTGTCAGTTCCTATAACTAAACCATCAACCGCTGGTTTTTTCAATAGCTCTAAATGCTGGGATTTGAGGGGGACAACACGGAAACAAGGCATTGCACCTCGTTTGCATCAGGTTTGCAGTAGAATTTCAGATTTTTTCAGCACAATGACATGGCCTAATCGGCTTTGGAATCCGGCCAGAAACCACTCACAAAAAACGGTGGCCCCGTTCGATGTGATGCCACTTTCCAGCCGGGCCGTGGCTTTGCGATGTCAGGCCTTTGAGTGGGGCTTCCAGCCTCCTGTCCGTAGCTCAGGGTGGCATCATTATTTGAAGCTTCTCCTCAGTCTTCTGCAGGATAAGTTCCTTGTATTTGAGAACAATACAGTAACAAGTATATATATATATAGACATAGCTAGATATGCATATGATATATTTCTGGGGGTGTCTGAAAATTGCAAACCCAACAAATTTGTCGGTTTATCAGTTTATCCCCAACTTCTCTATTAAAATATCATCAAGAATTGGTATATAACCTATATAATCCATTTCTGGGGCAAAGCCATATAGCATACAGTCGGTTTTTCAGAATATATCTGATTAGCCATCCCATGACATATCCACATCTATTCATTGTTCATTGGATGAAATTTGTGGTGTGACGTTGGATGAAATCCATTTGGATTAGATAAAAACCCATCTCACATATTGGCATCACTGGAATGATGGGAATGATAGGGTTTAGGGGTAACTATCCTAAAATATCCTAAAATCTTTGAACTATGAACTAGTTAGTGAATTGTCATAATCTATCCAGAATATTCCAGAATCCCTGTTTGTCACTTGTACTCCATTATATCATTATGGTATCACTGTTTATATCCCAATCAATCTCATTAAATCCCCATTATACCCCCATTCCATCACAATAAATCCCAATCAATGCTTTTAAATCCCAATCAATCCTATTGAATTTCATTAATCTCACTATATCTCACTAAATATCATAAAATCCCAATCAACTCCATGAAGAATCCCCTATGATATCCTCAGTAGCGTGTTTCATCCCAATGCCCGGCATTCTATCCCCAGCCAAAATCCTATGGCATGTCCATTTATCCTAGTTACATCCCATGAAATCCCTTGTTGGTGGTTTGGCACATGAATTTTATGACTTTCCATTAACTGACGAACTCCATCATTTTTCAGAGGGGTTGAAACCTCAACCACCAACCAGAATCCCATGAAATCACACTTTTTCCTGGTTAATTCCCAATCCCATGATGATTGAAATACAAAAGATATATATAGATATACTATAGATATACTATAGATATACTATAGATATACTATAGGTATACTATAGATATCCCAATTTTTCCTGGTTCAATCCAGACAGATGATTGACAGACTCGATCCATGACTTGTGACCAGGATGAGCGTCCTGAAGACAGCATCGATGAGGTGCAATTGATGCTAACATGGCTTGGAAAGGCTGCTATTTCCCTGGGGATTTCATGGGAATATCATGGGGATTTATCGATTTTAGATGTTTTTTGTGGAAAGATCATAGGATGAAAAATTGGAATGTCCTGGAGATTGAATAGGATTTATTATGGTGATATTTCATGGGAAGTTTTTTTGTGAATATCATGGGATTTATTGGGATATAATGAGATAATCATGGTTAGAGAAACATACTGCCTAGATCGGTTGTTTGATTGGGAAAAGAAAAAAACACATAAACAACTTATTTCAACTAGCCAGAATGAGGGTATAATGGATAGAACGTGGTTGGTTGATGGTTCGGATATCAGGGTTGTTCGCCGACCTGGTTGGCCTGGGGATTTGTTCCGAACCTTCCGGCCTACGGAGGCCTGGCAGAGGCTTTTAAAAAGGCTAAGACGTTGAGGATTATGGGGACATCAACTCATAGTCCTTCATGTTATTCAACTTCTGGGGATCCTCTAAAAACCTAAAAATCAACAACTCCAGCTCCTCTCATTATCCAACCTGGCAATTGACAAGAAGCTTTCAGATTATGCCGATTATGCTAATTGGACAGGTTTGGTCTGCAGAGGGTATATAAGATGTGTTTTTTTTGTTTTTCGTTTTTCACCTATAGATCTATAGTATACAGTATCTATATCTATATACCATGACCTGCGAAGCTACTTGACTTTCTCTTTTCGGCGCGGCGCTCTCAAATTTCCAAATGTTTTGAGAGATTTCTGGAGTTTATAAGCAGGAATTCTCTCTTGCCAGTCATGATCATTTACCAATCTGGTCAGCAAGTCCCTGGCAATATCAGAGAGGAATAACCATGCTTGGCTGATTCGCCTTTACATTATCAATGTTCATTGTAATTCATGATATCGTAAATTCCGCACTTTGAAAACTGGCTGATGCCATAACGATAATAGAAATAAGACAAAACAAGCTTAAGGGAATATCAACATTGATGTTCCCAAATTCGGGATAAAACACACCTCTATCATATAGTGGTTAAGCGACAAGTGGGTACCATCAGGGGCACCAATATCCCAGCAACAGAATTGCGTAGGTACATTTGTACCTTCAAGATGAAAGACATTAAAGAATGTTAAACATATTAGTGAGTCCATTGGTACAATACGAATTACTATGGTAAACCCAACAATGAACCACCCCATCAACGAACAATTTGGTAGTCATTTTACATCATCCCATTTCTAGGGGTATACCCAATGCGATAAAGCCGGGGACTGGGGATAGTTGTGGCATTGGGTTTACCTACCCTCTGGCAATTTAACATATAGCTATTGAAAATGGCCATAGAAATAGTGGATTTACCGTACCCATTGAAAATGGTGATTTTCCATAGTTTTTTGTATGTTTACCAGAGGGTAACCATGATGAGCTCCAGTCATTTTGCGCCCATCAATTGTTTCAGGAGCTGTCACAAGATGATGCTGAGGATCGGGACATATTGGGATAAGTGAAATCCGGAAAGGGCCTGGAAAAGTGATGAACATCTTGAGGACATTTGTGAAACAAATCATGAAAATCGTAGACGAATGATGATCTTAGGGAAACTGATGAAATGTGATGAAGAACTTGGGGATTTCATGTTTGTTCACTTTTGAACGACCCTGAGAACTAGCTTCAGGCGTTCCTTGCTGCGTTGGAGTGTTGATCGGAGACTCCCCTGGTCTGGATGACTGGCATAACTCCGATGACTGGTGACCAGTCTGGTAAACTAACATAGCTATTGAAAATGGCCGTTTAGTTCGTTGATTTACCCACGAAAAATTGTGATTTTCCATAGTTTTTTGTATGTTTACCAGAGAGTATCTTCCCTAGATTTGAAGATCCACTGGTTGATATGTTTGGGTTGGATTGCTAGCAAGAAAAGATCCCAGTTGGACTGACTCATCTACTTGAGGTGATTGAGGTGCATCCATCTGTCACTGGAAAATGGGATCCCTTAGTGCTTTGAATTTGATGATACATACTGGGCATCAAGTGAGTCCAAGCGGTTTTGTCGATGTAACTCTATTTATGTAAACTAAAGGAAGATCCTAGACTCCTACAATGATGACTTTCTACAACCAGGTGTATCCATATAGATTGCCTTTTCAGACTGGTTGGCTGATGAACACAGAGGAGTGCCTCCCATGTTTCGCTGAAGTTTTTCTTGGTACATGGTGCCCCAATCCCAACGTATCCCAACATGGTCAACTCAGATTCTTTGTGATGGTTAACTTACCCTCTGGTTATTTAACATAGCCATGGAAAATGGCCCATTTATAGAGGGTTTACCTGGGTTTACCTATTAAACATGGTGATTTTCCATGGCTATGTTAGTCATAACCAGATGGTAGATTCCGTTCGCTTTTAAAGCATGGTAACCACCCCAGCCTCCCTCGCGGAGGAAAGCGCATCTTTCCTCACGTTGGCAGACCGACAGCGTATTGGAGAGGCGTCGTGTGACTTCTTGGAGACGTGGGTTACTCTAAATATGGTGTATACCCCGATTATTTTAGGGTAACCACTAAATTTATGGATACCACGTAATTTATGGATACTAAATTAGTAGTTGATACCACATGGATACTAAATAACTACTAATTAGTCAGTGACATCATGGATACATTAGTAATTTATGGCCATGAAAACAAGTTAAACGGTGGATCATCCAATCCAATAAAAAAGGATCATTTTCAGAACATGATGATGAACCAATGGATGTCATATGGTTTGTAGAAAAACCACATGATGAACCACTAGTCACTATACTATACCTTTCACAGAAAAGCGTATGTAGATACAGTGCAGAAGGAACCGGTGGATGGATCTGGGGTAAGATTCGTGGAAAATTTCGCCCCGAAAGGGGATGATGTTCGACACGAAAAAACGTCCTGAGTTGGATGGACGTGTATGGATTGCTACAATGTGAGGCCCCCGTTGGATCGCTAAGTTGGTGAACATAACTCCAATTTCACTATGGTTTATGGTATTTATAACGAACTAGTTACTGGGGCTTTTAATAAACCAACTTATAACTGGGGGGCCCCACATTGTATGATAAGATTCAAGATGATAAGACGGCTATAGATCATAGCACCACAACTATAGAACCACAACTATAGATCATAGTCTTTCAACTTGTTATCTATAATGTGGGTAAAACAATCATAAACCATCCCCCAGTCATCACCATTTTTATAGGTAAACCATTCCCAGTCATGGGTGGTTTATGGCATTGTTTTACCCACATTATCGGGGATTATACTAGCTATTATCTCGGGGATTATAATAATCCAATAGGGGAATCCCTATCAACCAACCAGTATACTCAGCGTAGTATCTATATAGCAATGATGATCACAGTTACCCTCTGGTAAACGTTTACCATTTTCAATGGGTAAATCCACTACAATATATATATATATACATAAATGGCAATTTTCAATAGCTATGTTAAATTACCAGAGGGTAACCGTCAGTAACCATCATTACCCATCATTCATTAACCATCATTAACCATTAATAGCAATGATGATAACAGTTATCGAGCAATCGTATATCCCCGAATATATCATATATTATCCAGTTCCAGTTTGGAACTATCCCCAAATATCCACTTTGGAACCATAATTAATGCCCAATTAATATTGGATATATATTGGATATATATTGGATATATATTGGATATATCCCCAAATTCCAATCTTACCACAACTGATTCTTTCCCAGGTTCTGGCGGAACAAGAACGTCGCCGAGCAGAAAGGTCAGAGATACCCTCGATGCGACCCAGGAGCCATGGGTGGTTGGAAGGCAGGTTTGAAAGATGGTGATTTCATGTGATTTAATGTGATTTAATGTGATTTCATGTGATTTAACCACCAGGGATGATGATTTATTCTAGAAAACTGGGATTTGAGCCAGACAAACATGGTTTTGAGTAGAGCAAACGTGCTGAATGAAGCAAGCAATGTGGAGATTGAACCCACAAAAGATGTGAATTAAGCCAGGCAAAGCGGGATTGAAGAAAGAAGGAACCTTGAACCGGGAGGTTTGCAGGTTGAAACTACCAGTCATGCAAGTTGGAGTGCACCTGCACCGAAATATAGATGAATGGGTAGAGCATTCAACATTCACAAAAGCATGCTGTAGTATTACAACATTCCATAATGCTCACTGTAGAAGTATGTGGTACCACCACGGTAGCACGTAGAGAAGTCTTGATTGCTGCTTTCTTGGTCAATTTTCCATTACTGATGATAATCTGATTGGTGGTTCGGAACATGAATTTCATCATTTTTCATTTTTCCATATATTGGGAATTTCAGAAAATCCCAACTGACTTTCACTCCATCATTTTTCAGAGGGGTAGGTGGCTCAACCACCAAGCAGTAATTTATCTCTCCATTTCAGCTGAAATCCCAAGGTTTTGAAGCAATTTTCAGATCCCCATGTCTTGTTGATACGAAAATATGCTGTTGTTGTTTGTTTGTGGTTATTTCAATGGATTGGTTTAAGGGAAAATCTACAGGAAACCGTAGATTTTCCCATGAAATATGGGACTTTCCTGCAAATTTCCCCTTAAACCAATCCATTGCTTATTTTGATCAACAAGCTTTGATGACTAAGTCCCTTTGTGTTGCTTATTTTTTCTACCATCATATGATAGAGATGTAGATGGATCCATGGAGGTATCAGCCTCGGTCATTACCAACATGGATCAGCACGATCATCGCCCATCTCTGGGGCACCGGAAATTCATGGCTGTCATGGCTTTATCAGCAACTTAGTGTTGGTAAGCCGGGTTCAGCAGCGTCACTTTTTGTGTTTGTTGGCGCCCTTATCATTGGCCAGGAACCGCGGTTCCGGGGGCTGATTTTTGCATGTCATGTTGATCCGGAAATCCAGGACGGTTGACACCATGTGGCCAAGCTTCTCCCCTGGTCGGAGGCGGAGATCCTGAGTTGGATCATGTCAGGATTTCACGGGAAGCCCGTGATTTTTTTTTCCGTCAATTTATCCCGTTGTGTTGAGAAGAGAATCACACTTTCTCTGTGAAAATTGCAATTTTAGGCTTTGCTCCTTTATTTGAGAAACCCATCTTGAGAGGTTTAGGCTCAGTAGCTTATCAGCATACACGGGGATTTCACCCAGCATGGAAGATTTCATGCAGCCAGAAACTAAACGGGGATTTAACTTGTTTTTATATGACTAACAAGTACTGGTTGGTGGTTTGGAACATTTTTATTTTTCCATATATTGGGAATAATAATCCCAACTGGCTTTCATATTTTTAAGAGGGGTTGAAACCACCAACCAGAGTGTGACTTAGCCATATAAGAGGCTAAGAGCAAATCGGGTTTGCCCCACAAATATGCAGATTTCTCAACTGAATTCACCGACAGAAGCAGACAATTTAAGCAGCTGAAACTTTACATGCCACGGGAACTTAGCAACAGACACGAGGATTTTTTAAATTACATGTCAACCAACAAACATGCAGATGTTGTCAAGCTATATGTGGTGTTTCACCAAGAAGCATGGGGATATAACAAGAAGAACTATGCCAAATTACTCAAGCATTGCGATATCACCGCTGGTGGAGCATGTATCCAGATTGTATCACCGCTAAATTGACCACCAGGGAATCAGGATTTTGCGCCCAGTTCCCCACAACGAGCCTCAGAAAAGGGTTGATTTCCATTAAATTCAATAATTTCATGACACATTTCTATTAAAACACGATCATCCATTCATTTCCCATGATGTGAAAACATGTTTGATTTTCATGTGTAAACTTATGTATAAAATATATGAAAATAGGTCATTGAACAAGTTTGACATCCATAAACACATACCAATTCCAGGATAAAATTCATTCCCATTGAACATGTTTTTTTTTCCCTAGAACATCTTGTCAATTCCCCCCGAAAAATGATGGTCGATTCCTCCCATGTCCGGAAAATGCCCAAAATTCCTCCAGGAATCCTTCTCCAAAATGGTGAATTTCCTTCCCAAAAATGGTGAATTCCCCGGAATTCCCATGCAATCCACAGTTTTTACAATTCATCCGAGGCACCCTGAGGTTCCTTGGTCAGAGGCCAGCGGCCAGTCGGGGCTCTCGTGGTTGATGACGGTTGGATGGTCGGATGGTCCAGTGGTTGGGAGGGAGCTAAGGATCAAGGGATATGTATTATATATATATATATATTCCCTATAAAAAATTGGGGGGCAGTTGGAGCTACGAATCGAGTTTCCCAACATTGACAAAACCGTTGGAGCTACGAATCGAGTTTCCCAACTAAACCCTAAACCCCATGATAGTTGATGACATCTTGTTTGTAAATAATTAGAAGTCAATATATTGTGCAACAAAATCTACTCTCCTCCATTTTGATCCCTGGCAAGGTTGATGATTAGTTAAATTCATGGAAGACAAAGGAAGCAGATCCGGTACCAAATACGGCATATCATTAACCCAGAAAACTGGAAGCTTTCTACAAAATGGCGGCTGGTTCATGCTGAAACAGAATTAGATATACTACTTGGTTTCATTGTGATTGTAAACATTTCCAATATGGGAACCCTGCCCTCAGCCAACCAGTAGATTTGGGGACGACAGAGGTTTTGGGCGCCGCTCACTTGATTGTTGATGTGTTTTTTTTTGGGGGGGGCAGGATCCCTTTTGGGGCTGACCTAAAATAAGGGGGAGTAGGGTTCCCATCATCATAATCATCATCATCATCATCAACAACAACAACAACATCAACATCAACATCAACGACAACAACATCGCTCTGATGCTCCATAGATGTGTGTGAATATGTGTGAATTGACCTTGCTTGCAGTTGGCGAATTCTATTGAAATCCAATTCAGCCAGATGGATATGGGCCAAGCAAACTGTTGTACTTCCATCATGTTGCCTTCAAAACTTGGGCATACCTCAGAATCAGCTAGTAAACAAAGCAATCTTCCGCTTGCCATGGCCATTCGGGACCCATGCCATTCGTACAAAGCCATGTCATGTTGGTGCTGTCGATTCCCATGATAGTTGGCATCTGGTCTCAAGATGACAAAGTTCACGTTTTCCCAATTTCCCATATCTTTATATATATATATATGTAATAATATAATATGTATATGTATATATAACTAATAACATACATGCTTATCATTATTCATCCTTAGATTCCCATCGTTTTTGTGTTTTTTCACCCCAAACCTCGAGACCTGGCCTCGTCATTTGAGGCCTGATCGTCATCGTCCACCAAGCCGAGGCCAATATTGGATCGGTGAATGATGGGAATGATGTGCTCAGATGAGCAGTGTTCAAAACCCATCATTTATCAGTTATACCACCTGTTATATGACAAATATTGGGATTTTATAGGATATATAATTAAGTGGAGAATATAACTGATAAATGATGGTTGGTTGATAATTAGTATATTGGGGATTCTAAGAATCCAATAGGGAAATCCCGGCATAAACCAACCAGTATTTCATGGATAGCGGCATTTATTTCACACTGCTCAGATTTTGGGGATTTCAATTTACCCATGACGGATCCATGTATGCTATATATGTTGACATGGATCCCATCAATATACCCCAGTCATGTTAGCATAAAAAAAACCAGCACCAGCCGGATCCGTCATGGGTTATTTGGAGGTTTCCTAAAATGGGAGATCCATGGATCCTCTATGATCCACTGTGGACCATTGGTTTCAATTTCCTACAATTGTCTTGTTTTGGATGATGGCTGGGGGTACCCCCCATGACTTCGGAAAGCTCCATTTCATCATATTTCATCAAAGGAAGTTTAGAAGTCTAAACTCCGTTTTACGGAGTTTCAAAAAGTAGAGTAGAAATGCTATGTCATTTGTTCTTTTGTTCGTGGTCAACCGGAGGGATGGCTAGTTAAGAAGACATTTTTTTCTCTGATTTTGTCGACTTGTTGCCCCACAAGGGACATATTTTCACCAGTTCGTCACTAATTGGCCATGAGCAGTTGGCCCAATAGGTTGTGCATCAATGGGTTTCAACGTGGGGATCTCCGAAATAAGTTGGTCTAAATAACATGGACCCGGACTGTCCAATGGTTCTACTCAAAAGTAGCTAAGTAGCTAACAACAAGACATGACAAGACTGTTCGAAGCCCGTTGCTGAAGGGTTCAATGCTGTGGATTTTTTTGGGCTGTCCAGCTATGCCCATGTCATGCTTCACCTTCTAAGAAACTACACCCCACGTTATCCCAAGTTATCAGTAAAACATGGTGAAACCACATGAAGTGCGCTTTGAAAAAAACGAATGCTGAGCCATTTTTTGTTGCCTAAATTCACATTGATTTCAATCAATCTTGGGTGGTTTCCTAAGAATTTCTTTCCCCCCGATATGACATGTTATTCATTTTTTCAAGGGCCCCTTGGGTAAATTTTATTAGGACCCACAATATCAAACTATCAAACCATTCCAATTCACCAAAAATCGAGATGATCTCAGTCATCCCCAGGCGGACAATCTGAAAAACCTACCGTGAATCTATAGAACATTGGATGGTGACTATGAATAACTATGATACATTGAATTTACCTATGTTAGTATCACTCTTAGTTATTGGATTCATTGAGTTGGATGATGGATTAACTATCATCCAATTGAGTTATTAGTTTTCCTATGATGGAATCATGGCATTAACTGATGTTTACCTCATTTCTTACAAAAACAATGCCATGAGTCCATCAGTTCTCCTTTTGATCATCTTCACGGGTGAAAAAAAAAACATGGGGGATCACACATCGCTGCGGCAGCAAGGTGATTTTTTGATACCCATCGAACTAGTTGGATAACAATTATCTACATCATATGTTTACCATAAAAATCCAGGCAAGTTAAACATAGTTAAACCACTTCGCCGAGTGATTTCTCAACTATTTTTAATCTAAATTAATATTTTTATCTTAGTCCCATCATATTGTCCCATCATCAATTAACCATCATATATTCCATATATTCCATATTATTCAACATCATTTTTTTCTTGGGTTTTTCATCGCCATATTTTTACACAAAAATTTGCCGCTGGTGAAAACCACCCCCGGTTTTTCGCCAGGAGGTGAATCCTGGCAGCCTCTGGGGCAGACGACTCCACCAGCCTATGAGCAGGCTGGATCTGCTGGATCTGCGCGGCTGGTGGGAACCCCATTTTGAAAATCACTGGATTGGATTACCCTCTGGTAATTTAACGTAGCTATTGAAAATGACTATTTTTCATGGGAGAATCCACTATTAATGGCCATTTTCAATAGCTACGTTAAATTACCAGAGGGTAAGGGAAAATCTTCACCGGAAACCATGGGTTTTTACCATCAAATGTTGTGGGCTTTCCGGTTAAATTTTTCCCCATCATCCAATTCTATGTGAAAAAAATCATGGGAACACGTATGAATCTTGGGAAACATATGATGGGTAATTAATAAAGGACATAATATTGATGGAGATATATTTTTTAGGACTATGACCCTGGGATATAGATGATGATGGATATATATATAGAACCAAGATGAACCATTCTTCTCATAAACTGGCTGGTGGTGTCGAATATTGGTTTGAAAAACCATAGCGAAATGATGAACATATTTATTTTTGGTGAAAACCACCAACCAGTTAAAGATTTTGATGAATTGAGAAGTCGAACATATTGGGAAAAACACACAACTGCAGACACTTTTCTTTTTTTGGTAAAGATCGGTGTTTTATTAACATGATCCTGCATATATCCTCGTTCAAAGCCTCACGAGTCGACTCCGACTGTATTTCCCAGATTTTCCCAGTATTGGATGAATGGAAGAAGTTTCTGTTATTCATATAATTGTCCCTATATTTCATATTTCATATAACACATGTTTGGTTTTCATGGTTTTACCATTACAATATCCCTATCTGGGTAAATTTGATCACGACCTCACTGAGTTCTCCCGAGCCCTGGAATCATGCTTAGGATTCGGGGAATCATCCCCAAATGACCCAACAATTCAGCTTAGTGAAATATGATGGCCTTTACCCAGATATATATACATATATATATACATATTATATATAATACATATCCATACTATTTCGAGGGTCAAATTTCAGCCTTTACCCAGCCTATGTTTCACTGGAAAGACCGGTGTCCTCCGCAGGTCACACCGGAGCTTCTACAGCTTTGGCAGATCCAGGATGGGGATCTCCAACTGGGCGAAATTTCGTAGGACTCTGTTAAAGCCCAATGGCAGGGTCTATGTTGGGGAGCCATATATATATATATAGATAGATAGATAGATAGATAGATAGATCTTAGATAGATAGATAGATAGATAGATCGATCTATATATATATGGTTTCGCGATTGGTAAACCCCCGAGTCCCTATTATTCCGGGGCAACCCCAAAAAAATCAACCAGGACTTACTAATCTTGGCTTGACTCGACATGAAGACATTCCCATCCTTTTGCCAGAAATGGGTTGTATATTGTTCCCAAGAAGTGAATAATTATTTATTGCAAACCCCATGCCATAAACTAGGGATAAACTATCCACGTACCAAATGTCAGGAGCTACTAAATACGCTAAAGCAGAGATTATGATTTGGTGTACCAGATTCTAAAACACAATAAATGGCGGTTAACCATTAAGGTATGGGTAGACTGACTGGTGCCTGATTAGTGAAAGGGTTATTTAAGCAACCAACCATGTTGATTAACGCATCAAAACATTGGATATAGTTAAACTGAACGGGACGTAGTAGCAGGAACACAAACCACAGTTTAAACATACAATGCATGAGAAACAGTTGCAACACCAAATTAAAAAGCTGCCCCCCCTCCACAACGCCCACTCTCTAATTTAACATGATAAACCTTCAATTTGTGGCTTTACCAGCTGGTGAGGGCTAGTTTACTCTGTAATTTCGTTTTTGCCAAATATACATCTCAGCTCACATCAACATACGGTTTTTCTGGCCTTTTCTGTGAGCATTTTTTTTGAAGTCTGGCTCAAGCTTGAAAAAACCGTGCTCGAAATCAGAGGGGAAAATTACGATAGGACCAGGAGGATCGGATCCATGGCTTCCCCTAAATTTTCCTGTAAATCAATCCATAGACCCAGATGTTTTATCATCTGATTCTTTTCCATAAATATAAGCTGTATATCCATAGTACACAACATAACTCGTGTACACAGATATCCCCACAATGTTAGGCCCCAGTTCGTTAGCTAAATTCGTTTATAACTTTAACCAGTGTCTATGGTAGTAACAACGAACTATATAATAGATGGTATTATAAACCACATTGTAGCATGTACCTCCAGTATACGGATGTGTCTGAAAATGGTGTATAAACCCACAAGTGGTCATTTGTGCGACAAAAAAATGATGAATCAATATTAATCATCATATTTGGAGGTATATATATATATATCAGACAAACCCAGAATATCAATTTGATGATTAATAATCATTTGTCTGATTCATCATCAAATGAATCAATATTGATCATCACAGTTTTCACATAAACGCGACACGTCAGGAGACGCAGTTGCCATCGGATCTGCCGCCTGCGCAGCCGACGCAGGTGACAACTTGGCTGCGAAAATGAAGCTTTGAATGGGACACATAGGGGAAAATAGGGGAACAATTCACCAGGATACCAAGACTTCATAGCCCTTGTTTTGGCACTGTATAGATTCTAATAGATTTGCAAAGGTTTTTCACACTTACCATTTAGGGAAAATCCATCATATACATGGAGGCTTTCAAGGGAAAATATGGGACAAGTTCTATCAACGGAGGTTTCAATCGTGAGGGTTACCTTTCTTCAATGGGAGAATGGTGGAATGATAGGGGTATCATAGTATATAGATGTATATAGTGATATTATCGTGATTTACAGGGTACATAATAGGATGTATGATCAGCCAAATTGATGCTGGTTGGTACCCTTTGAGGCCCTTCAGGTGTGAGCCAGTTTGCTCAGGAACATCACCAGCCAAAATCGCAGATTTTTTGTGGATAAAAAACCCCTCTGACATGGACGGCACCATACCCAGAAACCAGAAATGATCCACAGTTTTCAGGTTCCATGTTAATTTTTATAGGGGATTACAATTAGTGATAACTTAGGAAATTAAACGGACCTAAACATTGTTTCCTATGAAAGAGTTGGAATTTCCCATCGTGCTGTTTGGGTGCCCTACTACAGCACGACTGGAGATGACTCTGCATTCTTGAGCGGAGATTTTGAAGCCTTCCTATTTGGTAATGTCCCCACGGTTGGTGGTAGTCTCATTCCCATGTTTCCTGGTTTCATCACCATTTTGTGGGCAAACATCCACCAACATCATCATCCTTTTAAATGTTTCTATTTGACCAACATCAATTTTGCCAGTGGTGACCCATCCTGATCATCTAACACAACATTCACTATTATTAAAAATCACCATTAATTTTAATGAATCATTGTAGCATCGTTAAGTAGCCGTAGCCAGCCGTAGCCATCTTCCAGGACGAGGAAGCTCCAGAAGTGCCGGCCGGAGCCATGGTGGATCTCCCATTGATCATTGGAAAATCCTCCGAACCTTTTTTCTGATGTTTACCTTCTGGTAAATTAACAGTTGGACCCTGGCAGTTGTCGGCTTTGGAAGACTAGTTTCCACTATAAATTGGTCATTTTTCAGGGTCAACATGTTGGATGCTGGTTGGCGGTTTCACATGTTTTCACTACCCAAGGTGGGGTATCCATCAAGGTGTTGGGAATTTATGCACCAAAATATTGGTAAATCAACTGGTGTTTCATCCAACCCAAATGGGGGCTGGACGGAGAAAAACTATGGTGCGAGGTTAGTTATCAAGCCAGAAGTTCGTAAATTGGTGCCTTATTTTTCAACTCGCCAACACATAGCGGAACGATCCATACCAATTTTTGAACCGCAGCCACACACATATATTTAAATGTAATTGTATAATATACATACATCATACGTAATATCCGTGTATATACACAATATATGTGTACTGTATGCACTAGCTATTATAATCTATTATATGTATATATTTACGCTAGATACATTATGATACATATTATATTATATTATATTATATTATATTATATCATATTATATTATATTATATTATATCATATTATATCATATCATATTATATTATACTATATTATATCATATTATATTTTATTATATCATATTATATTACATTATACTATATTATATCATATTATATTATATCATATTATATTGTATTAGACTATATTATATTATATTATATCATACTATATCATATTATATCATATTATACTATATTATATCATAGTATTTTATATTATATCATATTATATTATATCATATTATATTATATTATATCATATTATCTTTTATTATACTACATTATATCAAATCATATTATATATACATATATATATATATATATATTTATATAGTATATATATATATGTATATGTATATAGATATTATATGTTCAGTGAAATCCACCGACTGGATCTCCCAAACTGAGGCAGAGTCCAGTCTTGGACCTGAGGCGGAGGTTCGTGGCAGTCGTGACAGTCGTTGCGTCGTCCATTTCGAAGTGGAATGGATTGAAGATGTTTGGACATGCATAGAAAATCCACAGAAAATGAATAGAAAATCCAATTTGGATTGCAGAAACCATAGAATATATTCTATCATGGATTGAAACCCAATAAATATTTGGAAACAAAGTGAAGATGTTAACCCAATAAATAGATGTCCACTAAGTAGAAACCCTTCCATCAATATCACTTTGATCGCAGAAAATGAATATTTATGAATATGGAATCATGGATTTACACCATAATCATTTGAAGAATAATATAATAGAGCATTCAAAATCCACACACTTTGGGTTTAATCAGTGTGAATGGTGGGCATTGGGAGTGTTTGACATCTACCAGTTGTCAAAGATGAGGAGCTTGGTGCTAAGATCTGCAAATTCTGAAGATAATGTGTACGGTGTCTAGTTTCTATCGGTTTACATTTCACAGATTCGTGTTGTTTATCACCTTATATGATCTTATATGCACGCGTGAACTATCTATATATGTATGTTATTATAATATATAATACATAATATATATTTTATTACACTGAAACATGTAATTACAGTATGTATATATAAGTATACGATTTATATAAGTACATTTTGTATAGATTGCATAATCCCAATCTTGGCTGATTTTCAAGGCCTTGGCCGTCCTCTATCCGCAGGTGCACCCCTTCGAAGGGGAGCGTGGTGCAGAGTCTGGTGCAGAGCATGCAGAGATTGCAGGCTGGGATGTGAGCCATTTAAAATGCCATGGTTGATTTGTGAAGGAATTGGTTAATATAATATGGCTAATGCAAAAAAAATGGCTAATAAACTATAGTTAAATTTGGTTTTACCAAAATTTCATGGTTGATTTGTTGAGAACTAGGGACTTATATGAACTTATACTACCAAAGTTATTGGAGATAAATAAAAACCGATAGAAACGGGAAATTGATCAACCAACTAGTGTTTCATGAGATGGGATTGGAACTGGTAGTATAGCTAGTATTTAAATGATCGTAATATTAGGATAATAATTGTTGATATTATTGTTAATGTAGGACTTATACTAATATAGGAACTTCTTTATTGACAACCAATATATTATTGAATAACCAGCCTCAAAAATAGTCAACAATATAATATATATATACAAATACCCAATATAATTTGCCTGATTATTATATCCCTAATATACTAGCAAATAACCAGCCTGATATACTTATACCCAGTAGTCCACACATATATATATATATAGCAGTTTATCCGCCTTGGTGATTGGTCAGTAACTGGACTTATGTACCACGCAGATTACTGCAATGTGGGCCCCAAAGTTATAGGTTGGTTCATATGTTCATCTAACTATAGTTATAACTACCAAAAACCCTAGTTAACCAACTTACAAACTGGGGCCTAAGCAGAATGACTAGGTACTAGCCGGTTACCAACTGGGATGATGCTTAGATCCGAGATTCGGATGATAGGAATGGTATCGGTATGGGTCAAAAACCCGATCAGACCCCTACGCAAGAGTAGCTGATATATGGATGTTTCTAATACAACATGTGGTATAATAGGTTTTAACCCAACATATATATATATAATTATAACATTATCTTAATGTGTATATATATATAGATAGATACAATATATGGATATACATATGTGTATATTTATATAGCCATTAGATATACCCATTACATAGCCATTATACAATCTTTCGTGACCCCCGACTCAGGTGGTCATGAGATCCCAGATGCCATCGATGTCGCTGAAGCGGCTGAAGTGGAAGCATCGGAACGAAGGCCATGGTGAACTGTGGCTTCTGGGGATATCGTTTTTTTACATAAGTATGTTTTGTTTTTTCTTGAAGAACTTGGTTGACTATGGTGTAACTATTAACTGTAGTGAATGGTGATTATAAACCAACTTAGTACCAGTCAATGAAGTGGTTTGAGGGAAACTCTTAAGCGGACACCAGGTTTTTTTCCCATGAAATATTGAGGTTTCCTATAGAAGTTCCCTTACAAACCAATCCATTGAAATTGTTTTGAATTGTTATGATTCTTTGGGACAACAACATCTATGTATGTGATCACAGATACACGTATGGGGGTTTCCTGAAAATGAGGGTACCCCTAAATCATCCATTTTAATATGATGTTCCCTTATAAACCATCCATTTAGGGGCACCCCCATTGATGGAAACCTCCATATATATAATATATAATTACATAGACATATATGAAAATTACATTTCATATATCATACTGTATATGTGGGAACCTCGACCAATCACACAGTAGCAATTTGCTAAATCCACACTTGGTTTTGGAAGAAAAATGCTGGCCAGACCTTGGACCAAGACTCTGCCTTGAACATATCCATCCAGTAAGCTAATATATGGAGAACGGAGAAGCCACCAGTTGTAGATGATTTTCGGACGCCATGGGTTTTCATGGGTTCTCATGGCGTTTTTTACATCTATTTATGTAATAGACCAGACAACATGCCTAACAAACCTACCCAATGACACACAGATTCTTCCCGGGCTCGGGTTCAGATGCTGTGCAGGACACAAGAGCTCGAAACAGAGCTTGAAACTTAGTGGCGATGGCTCTTAACAAAGATCTCAAGCACTTCTTGGAAAATCAAAAGTGGGATTTGAAACGAAGCCAAGAGTAGTGGCTAACAACTAAACTAAGTATGCATTCGTGACTGTCAACTTTCATATTATGGCCCAAGTATAGGCTTATAACATGTTATAACCCAGCTATTTGCCCAGATTTTTCACCACTTACCAGTTAGGATTCACCTCCGAATAGCTGGATTCAGCTGGATGTAGGGAACTCATCTCGCCCCAAGGCAAGCTGAAGAGGAGGAGGAAATTGAGGATCACCGGGATGGGTCATTTCTTTCTTCTTTATGTTTTTTTTTTCCAGGAAATCAGAGATATGTTCTTCTACATCATGTTCTAAATCATGTTCTAAGTTAGTTCCGAAATCATGGAAGTTGTTTCTCCGTTCAGCAGTAAGATAAGACATCACTTTTTTGGGCTACGAACATGATTTAACCTCTGGCAAAACCTACATATCCTGCTTCCAGGGTAGGCAAAAAGATCCAGCTGAGAATCCATATCTTTCTTACACAGGGTTGAAGCCAAACAAAAACTGGTTGGCACATTCGCTGCGTGCTTCACACCGATTCACTCATTGCCATCATTTCTTTTAGTTTTCATCCTGCAGGATGCAGAATTCGAAACTTTTTCAGAAGGCGGGCGTGGCTGGCTAGATCGACAGGACCCAGACATCTATTCCGTGATGTGACCGCGCAAAGCTGTTCAGAAGTTTTTGCTATTTGCCAAAATTGCTCGACCATACTGTATTTTCGTTGCAGTTGTTGCTTGCCTTGATAATCCTTGACAAATACATACAAATACGATCAAATATGAAATACAATTACAGAAACATAATCGATAAGATTTTAGTGGATCGTTATTGGACTTAGGGTTGTCTCAAAATTTGGAGCCCATACTTCCCATGCCTTTTCCCACTTAAGGTTATAGTTTTGGGATGTTGTGGGGTATCCTCGATGTTGACACAAATCTCATGCTCGGTTCGAAATATCACACAAACACCAATTCAGATTCAGCAAATAAGCTTGCCACTGGCCAGTTTCAGAATTTTCAGAGCTTAGAGTCTGAGTCAAAAGGCTCCTGGCTCGCACCCAAATAGACATGCAAATGGCACGCACTTCTTGGCTTTTGATAGACCTCCAAGGGAATCCACTTTTGTCCAATCGATGGCAAATCGTGTCTACAGTCTTTTACATTCTATACTGTATATATATATATATACACTGTATATATATATATACATATACATATATATATTATATATACTATGTATGTACATATATATACACAGATGTGATCATATGTATGCACATATTATTTAAATAATAAAATATAATCATATGGATGTATGTGTATGTATATATAGATGTATATATACATATGCAGGCCTATATCTACATACATACTCTCAACGGTACCTACTTACAATGCCAAAAATCACTGCAGGTGAGGAGTCTGATGCAAGTGCCGACGATGGAGGATCGGCCAGAGTTCAGTGGGTGTCAAGGCGTCATGTGTGATGTATAGCCATGTCTACATATTTCCACTGTATAATATATATATAAATAGATAGAGATGTGTATGTATATATATACATATGCGAGTTCCAACAATCACATTTGTTGAATCCTTATATTTGGGAGTCCAAATCCTTTTTGTTGCCATTTCCGTTCTTTTCGATGGTGAAAATTCCCCTTTTTGGCACCCCGTTAGGAGAGCCAGCCGAAGACCTTCCGGACCTTCCGGACGTCCCGGACCTCCCGGCGACGGTGGAAGATGTAGCACCTGTGGGGGCTCCTACTTCGGCAGGGGCTTGTTGGACCAACCAGTGGCATCATGGCTGTTGTCAGAATATCATGGGATATCATTGGGTATGGGTCAATACTTATAGAATCCTATAGATACAATTTGTGATTATAATCCATTTACCAGCTATTTTGATGTGAACTATAGGGGTACAGGGTTTTGACCCAAAACCATATAGATATTAATGGCATTTTCATGAGATACATAACCAACAACCTTCACGTAGTCTGGCTGTGTCACGACGGTGTCTCATTTTTTTGGGCTAGATGCACAACATCCACATGTATGACAATTTGATTTAGGGAAAATGATGACAACCTATGGGAATATATGGATTGTCAGGGTATCCCATTTTCAGAGCAGCTAGAAATCATTGAATCCATGTTGACCAGCTAACATGGAGCCCAGATGGCCATATCCAAGTGCGGTTAGAGCCTTCTCCAAGCCACCCTTTGGTCATTTAACACAGCCATCGTTCACCACTTCGAATCGGTACATCCTTGAAATAAATGGGCCATCATTTTCCCAAACTGTGAGCTTACCAGAGGGGTCCAGATGTGTGTTTCACATTCGAAAATGGCCCATTTACAATGGATTTGCCTTTGGAAAACTGATGATTGTCCATAGCTATGTTAGTTTAAGCAGAGGGTATATCGGGTATATCCCCATATCACCATTCTTCATGGTTCATCTCAAAAGATCCCTGAAAAATATTCCTATAGAATCCCGTATAAATTCTGTCAACCCTGGATTGGGAGGGTACCATTTACCCTCTGGTTATGACTAACATAGCCATGGTATAGATGGCCCATAGAAATAGATGGTTTACCTATTAATAGCATGGTGATTTTCCATGGCGAACTGTTAAATAACCAGAGGGTAAATATCCGATTATGACTATTGGAGGAGTACCCCCCCCAATTAATAAATACCATGGTTTATTAATCCGGGGTTGACATATTCATTGGATGTGTTTTATCGTGTGACAACGGGCTGGCTGGCCGCAAGGAGCCTAGCCGAGCTGTAGAGCTGGAACCTCAAGCTGAAGAGATTGAGGCGCGATCCAGAAATGCCTAGGCTATGGTGATTTAAGCACCGAAATTGGGGGTCAAAAGTAACAGGGGTAGAGTGTGATTTTGGATGATCAATGATAATTGTTCATAATTTGCTGTGTATTTAAATATATATATATACTTGTGGTACATGTACAAGGGCTTATAAACCACCAACAACCACTCATAAGGGCTAACAAAAAACCCTGGTATCACTAATGTCCAGCTGGTGGGTTGGTGAACGATGCGAAGATATCCTCAAAATCACTCAACAAATTGGCTGTTTGTTTTCAGCATTTGAGAAATGATATTTCGCAACGTTACGATGCAAACATGGAATCACATGGAACCATGACCGTGATGGGCCAAACATTTTTTTGGAGACCCGACTCCTACAAAAAGTTCATTGGGGGCAGGTGGCCAGCCTTCATTCCAGTGAAGACTTGGGGCACTTCGAAGAAGTTGAGGCAACGGCGACCGACTGGGTCGGGGTGTCATCAGAGATGGTGTTTTTTTTTTTTTCCGATGGGAAATGTCAACTTTCAATGGGAACATATATGGAAAACAAACTATAAGAATAATTATGGGACAGATATATGGGAAACCATATCTTTAATATAGAAAATCTTCGAAAACTATAAACAGAAGGAGGTTTTGTTCACGGTGGATTTTCAATCGAAGCAAATGGTGGATTTTCTGGTCAGACATCGGATGGTGTCATCCCAACTGACTTTCATAGGGGTTGAAGCCATGAACCAGTTCCAACCAGTGAGTTTTTGTTTAACATTTCTTTGAATTATATGTGCCTTAATACTGTGGATGTGCCTGCGAAATCCGAGAAACCACCTTGGATGGTTGAACCCCCAACAAAATACTGGGATAGATACACCATCTATCAACTCAGGATTTCTTCTTCCATCCACAGTATCTATATATGATCTATATATGATCTCTATATATATGATCTCTATATATGATATCTATATATGATCTCTATATATATATAACATATATAGAAGTATGATATCTATATATGATATATATATATGATATATATATATATACATATATGTCTGTATATGTGCCTTAACATTTGGTAAGTTGAAGCTGGTTGATTCAGCTTGCCATGACATGATGAACCCGATCTGGGACGATGATCCCGACGTCAACGATGATTCCGAGCTTTTTAGGTGACCGAAGAACAAAAAAAAAAACTGCTGTTCAAAATTGGAGTTACGAAAATTCATGTGCCTCAATATATCTTAGTATATCTTAATATGTATAAGATATTCTAAGATTAAATGTCAGCAGATATCATATATTGTTACCTTCAGACCATCCGTTTGAGACTTCCCCCCCCCTTTGGACAGGTCACTGAGAGCGGCGGCTTTCACGCTGACGAGTGGATCGTGGAGGCATCATCCATTCGCCGGCCTGACGACTGGGGATGGTTTATACACACCACCCATAAACATGGTGATGACTTGGGGATGGTTTATGATTGTTTTACCCACATTATAGATAACAAGTTGAAAGACTATGATTTATAGTTGTGGTTCTATAGTTTTTCCATGATAAATTATGATCTTAGTGGCTTTACCACACTAGTTCATTTTTATCATGTTTTATCCATGTTCATAAAAATGGTGATGGAATGCGGATCTATGTTTATTTTTGATCGTTGTTGGATTTATTCCGGATTGTGGTCAACGGTCAGTGGATTGGAGGAAAGGCTTAGAGGAAAAAACACAAAGTTTTGTTGCTTGTATTTGCCTGTCAAACTCTCCACATTTGCATCAATATTTAAAACATCTATTTGTCTTTGTAAAACAAATCCAGACTTTGCAAGTACCAATCATATCATTTGGAATGTTGACATTTAAAACCAGATATTCATACTCTCAACGTACTTCATGCGTTGAAAAATATCCCATGACTGGAGAGTACTTCAAACTTTCCCTCCGGTAATTTAACATAGTCCTCAGACTAAATTCGTGGACCATGTTCCAGCTCGCTCCAGTAAACTAACAGTTTGCTAAGGAACATGGCCCGTATATAATATATCTAGTTCATATATTCCATGTTATCCTGAATATATCATGGGATTATACCTAATTAATGGTGTTTTGAGGGCCCCAAGGCCCCAAAACTTCTCTTTAGTTCGATGATCTACCCTCTGGCAAACTAACATAGCTATGGAAAATCACCATTTTCAATGGGAAATTCCACTATAAATAGTCATTTTCAATAGCTATGTTAGTCATTACCAGAGGGTAGCTATTAAGAATGGTCATTGTCCAGTTCGCAAAGTGTTACTTTACCACCTTGGTTTGTCGCTTTCCCATCTCTCAGCTTCATAGGTTGCCACCAGCAAGGCGGGCGGAGGGATGTCACCTAGTCTGACAGGATAGAGAAAGGGGTTGCAACAACCATTATCATAATTTATATAAGGGAGTAACATTGATATTAGTTATATAAGTTATATAAGTTATATAAGTTATATAAGTTATATAAGTCATATAAGTTATATAAGTTATATTATGTTGGCGGATGATGGTTGATGCATTTCAGGGTTATTACTCTACCCGATTATATTGAATCATTGACTGGGGATTCCCAGACTCCACGAAGGGAATGAGGATTGGCCCCAGCTCACCTTGAAGTTGTTCTTGGCAGTAGACAAGTCTTGATGATCTGAAGCCAGGGGCTGTTCATTTCGATATCATAGCAATCTGTTTGTTTGAAAGCTGATAATGTTGATCTCTTTAAGATAAAACCATGAGAGTTGGTAGTCAACATCGATAGGTTTATCGGATACTTAAGGATACTTAAGGTGAAATTGACAGGAGACCTTGGACACGCCTTTGCGAAGTTGATGGCAATTCTTGATCTTTACCATCTTTACCCCCTTTGATCAACTGAAGAGAGTCAGCCCCAATCATGGGACCGCAAAATGCGGCTTTTGTCGATGGAGCAGACAATTTCTCACGACCTTTTCAATCAACCCGGATCAACCCGTTTGGAGAGTACGTTATTCTTACCATATTCTTACATGAAGATACATGAAGTAGATCTCCAAATGTTCAAAATCACATCGCTTTTCCATACCCTATCCACCTGGCTCAACTGTTTTAGGATGTTTTAGGGGTGGCTCAACCACCAGACCCACTCAGCTTGACAGGCAGCTGCTACAAGTAGGGGAATCTCAGGAGCAGTGAAGGTTTTTTTTTCGAGGAGGTGCCCCCCAGTTATAGCTTCAACATCCATCAAACTGGGGGGATTGGGACACCATATATATCATTATATATCATTATATATCCATATATTATATGATAAATGGGAGAACTAGTTATATTATATAAGTTGGCTATAACTAGTTATACTTCGACATATCTACCAAGGATCCATATAATTCAATCGTTGGCACAGATGTAAACTGACCTAGCTAAGTAGGGGACACCATCTTGTATACATTGTAGCAGTACCAGAAATGTGATGCTCAATGGGCGCTGTGTCTTCAAATGTGGATACACTGGATGTGGGGAGCAGCTGCATGACATTTGGATCGTTCTATCAGCGGTTTGACATACCGGTAACGACATGTTTCTATACGCGGCGGGCCAGACTACGAGGCTCGGAGGTAGTATGAAACATCCATCTGTCTATTTAAATGTATATTTAAATAGATTGGATTCCGTATGTTTAAATGGCCGGGCGGGCCAAGGAAAACCTTCCTGGAGGTAGTCTAAAATGCCAGTTCGTATATTTGAAAATCCGTATATTTAGATGTAGTTTCCGTAGTTGTCATTGTTCATCGTACGCATACGGAGTAAAAAAAACCACCAGTGAAATATACCAGTTGACACTCAAAGTACCCATAAAGATGGGTGAACACACTAACATTAGGCGGAAAGGTACCAACTTTTATGCGTCAATGAATGTCTAGCTATATTTCACAACGGTTGGTGGTTGGTGGCCCTGAAAAAATAAGTGTAACGGCTATTGGGGTTCATCATCCCTGTTTGTGTATTGGATTGTATTGGGAACTATGTTTTTTGGATTAGATACCTGATATTCCTCGATCCCCATTCAACCACCATTAACCTTTGGTAATCAAACATGGTATAGTGGAAAATCCACCATCTAGTTCGATACTTTCCCATTAAGACATCCATTGCCATTGATTACCAAACGGTAATTCCACTAATCACCGTTGGTTACCATGAATCATCAATATTAACCATTATTCACATAGTATACCCATAGGATCCATGTATGCTATATATGGTAACATTTACCATCAATATACCCTCAATGTTAGCATATATACCATACATGGATCCTATGGGGTATAGATTAAATGATTAGTATCGAATATGTTCCCTCTTCCCATTTCGCACCAACCCGTCTGCAGCCCATGGCCAACTCAGGTCCACCAACAACAACACCGCCGGAGGATGCGCAAACGGCGCCGCCAACGGCGGGGAGGGGGAGGGCTGCCGGATGTCAACTGTTGGATGGGTATAGCAAACCCTCCAAACAGATAGAAACAATTGGAACGGTTGAGAAATTAATGGGAAATCTTCCATTTCAGAATATTTTAGATATGTAATATTTATGATATATATATGTAATTAATATTTATAGCATCCTGGAAAACTGTTGAGTTTCGTTTCGGGGAACCCTATAGTGGTAAATTAGTACTTTTACAGGCAAACCTCCCAGTTTGCCCGCGCCTACGTCCACAACGTCCCCGAAGATAAAAAACACTGTGTTTTGTTGGACAAAATGCACATGTCCGTGATCTTGGCTTTCATCTTGCAACGCACAGCTTAGGCTACCTGTGCGTTGAATGTTAGAACATCATCATCATCATCATCATCATCTTCGTCATCATCATCATCATCATCATCATCATCATCATCATCATCTTCGTCATCTTCATCATCTTCATCATCTTCATCATCTTCATCATCTTCATCTTCATCTTCATCATCTTCATCATCTTCATCTTCATCTTCATCATCATCTTCATCAACAACAACATCAACATCAACAACATCAACAACATCAACAACAGCAACAACATCAACCCTAAACCCTAAACTCCTTGAAAATTCCCATGAATATAAAGTTCAACGGGGGTGCGGTTTTGATGATTCCTTACAAACTCTGTTGAAACATGTTGAATATTCCCTTTGAATGTAAAGTTTAACGGGGGTGGACATTTTATGATTCCCTAGAAACTCTGTTGAAACATGCTGAAAATTCCCTTTGAATGTTAAAATTTAACACTCCCTTCAATATCTCCTTAACAGTTGTGTGGGCGAACTGGGGGGTTTGCGCGAACTTTTACTGCATCCTTTTTGGATCACTACATAGTTACTTCGATTTGTTTCTATAAGTGGTTTTCTTCTACCAACCAGCTACGGTCAAAGTTTAAGGCCAAGGCCACAGATTTGAAGTTTGGTATGAACCAGCCACTTATTGGTGTACCTAATTATGACCAAGCAGATTGAGTGTGAAAAAGCAACATGAGTGATGATTTGGAGATTCCTAAACTTTTGGGTGTGTATGAAAATGTCGTATGCCGCAATGCCCCTAAAAGCGGTAGTCTTAAGAGGGAACATGCTCTTTTTTGGGCTAGTCTATTTTGAGACAGACCCAGTGATAAAGTGATACCTTATGTGAAATTCCAATCAAATTCCATCTTCGAGATTTGCCCAAAAATGAGGGATTAGCCTGCGAATTCATTGCCATTTTTAATGGAGACTAGTACGATAGACAATCAAACTTACCTATAAAACATCTAAACAACATGGGGTTCAACTTGAGTTGATAGCAGAGTGCAAAACAGGTTAGGCCCTTTGGGATTGTTCCCTGGCCATTGGTTGGGAGTAAATAAACCATGGAATTTGATGTAAACAATGCCAGAGCAGTTGAGCACCTGAAATTTACTCAACTGCTACTTTGCTTCACAGCTGAGGCATGTATCTACGGTGAACAGAATAACAGCATAATGAAACATGATAAAGAATCAGTCCACTAGGCAATGTGTAATTATGATTAATATAGGATTGACCGCTGGAAAGTACAGTATCAACATATATCAAGATGATTCAGCACAAAGATCTACCCTCTGGTGAACTAAAATAACTACGGAAAATCACCATGTTTAATGGGTAAATCCACTATAAATCACCATTTTCAATAGCCTATTGTATGTTTACCAGAGGGTAATGACTAACATGTACAGCCCCAGCATGAACATGGGATAGCGGTTCAGTGCCATGTAATAGACTGAACTATCCCCTACATACAAATCACATGCATCAAGATATCATGGAATTGTAGAGATTTCCCCAGGTGACATACTCCCCAATAAATACGTATATATAGAATTATATGTATAGAGAGAGAGAGAGACATATTAGTATATAGAACTATAAAAAGTACACACATACATACATGCATACTATCCATGTATCTATACATACTCATATATGACCAAATATAATAATATCCATACTATCCGTATATCACTAATATGCAATCCACCAGAAACAAAGCCCCGCAGCTACACAGGTCTCCGACCTCACGGAGGAGGTGATCGCTGCGATCATGGAGGAATTGATCAATGACACCATCCAGCCAGCGACCCCACGGCTGCGATGCTGTTCCAAAATGGTGGCAGTTATACTAAGTTACTACCTGTATTGTATAATGGATACTTGTGGAAATATGATATGTATAATATATGGTGTATATATATATATTATACATATTATATATATATGATATGTACTATATATATATACCCATGTACATATAGATGTACTTACATCCTTCATGTGTTACGAAGTGACTTGTTTTTGTCATTCACCACTCGCCAAAAATCGACCATGGAATGAATCGATCATTTCCGAAGGGGAAACCTCAGCAGACGATCCACTGACCGTAGCTATGTTTGTTAACAAAACATGGGGCTTCCCAGTCATGTTTGTTGGTTTAGATATGTTTAGATTCACCCCCCAAAAAATATTATTTTTGTTGGTATTTCATGAAACCATAAACCATTGCTATCGGAGTTGTATATAAACCAACTTAGCTATCCTTTGGCAGTGAATTCCGGGTCAGAAACATAGCCAAGTCGAATCAGCGGTCGCAGAATCAGCATCCGGAATCAACATCATGGTCGGGATGGTCCGGATGGTCGGGATGGTTGGGACATGTTGGGACGGTCCTTTGGGGCCCCACCTTGTAACTGGATGGTTCAATGGATTGGTTCAATGGACAGGAAGATCCTGGATGCTTTGTCCCATGAAATCCAGGAGCTTTCTGTAAATTCTTCCTTCAACCAATCCAAAAAAACAATCCATTGAATGGCACGAAGTTGGTTTATAGACACCATTAACTATAGTTAAAAGTTCAACCAGAGTGAACCCAGTTATACCCCCCCATAAACCGCAGCTAAACCAATCCATTGCCGAAAAGCAGCGTCCTTTTTGAGGTCTTCCACCCTAGCAGCGTCCGCTGAGCCTGCCCTTTGGCATCCCACCCCGGTGGCACCGCCCTTCATCGACATCTTCAATGAGGATCTGTGGAACTAGGGAATTGGCGGAGCTGGAGATGGGGATTCAATTGGCAATTGGGGATTCAATAGGGATTTTAATGGGGTTTTCATGGGGATTTCCATGGGATTTTAATGGGGAGTGAGCTGATGCTAAGAAAGTTGGTGAACCATCTGCAAACGTTTTTTGTTTTAAACGTGTGCTTGGGGGCCAGGGCTGGGTTTGTCAATTTGTCTTCATTTAAATGACAATCTTGTAGGGATATCCCAGTTTCAGGCACTTATAATTGAAGACGGAGAAAATAATCATGTTTAATATGGTTTTAAAGGGTTTAACTCATTTGCACCCAACAGTAGATGAACATTATTGTGAAGGTACAAAATCAACCATCATTGGGATATCATGGGAATATGATGGGGATATACAATGGTGAGAAGAACCATCAATATTACATTTGGGTGTGTCTGAAAATGGGGAGGCCCCCAACGTGGCAACTTGATGCGGCGAATGCTGATCAAACATGATCAATCATAAAGATTGTTTACCCATTTTCCATCCAACAAACTGCTGGTTGGTGATTTGGAACCTGGCTTTTATTTTAATAATCCCAACTGACTAATGTTTTTCAGAGTGGTTGAAACCACCAACCAGACTGCCTAAAATGTCCTATAGCCAATATTGTAGCCAATATTTCAGCCATTACCATTGTTATGGACCGGTGGACTAATAGACCCAGAAAATCATTGTCACATGACTGTTGTCTTCAGCCGCTTCCATTTTGATGGTTCCTCACATGGGTTTGTCCAACAATTGGGTACCCCCATGCATATATGGAAAACTTAAGGTGAATATTTTCGCGGACATCATTTGCTGAACCAAAGAACTATATGGGTTTGCTTATGTGTGTTTCCAGTACCCTCTGGCAAACTAACATAACTATGGAAAATCACCATTTTCAATGGGAAAACTCACAATAAATGATCATTTTCGATAGTTTTTTGTATGTTTACCAGAGGGTATGGTTGTTGGTCAACTCCTAGTTTTGAAGTTCCAGAGATCTGATGTTTTCAAACCACTAGGACGAATTGGGGAATCTGATGTGGATATTCTCAGGGATATTCCCATGTTGGGTGACCACTGAAATCAAAGATGGAACCATGAAGATCACCCAACATGGGAATATCCGTGGGAATATCCACATCAAGACTGAAAACTGGTTCTGGCTCAGATGATTCAAACCAATTCAAGTATTGAACCTGAGCATGCTTGGGATCCATGGTAGATTTCAGGGCGTTTACGGGGGGTATTGACCACTCCAGACGTATGTATATATGTTCTATGGGTACAGGCCAAATTGATTTCGGACTAGGGTGCTAGACCATGCTGCCGCCCCTTGTCACTTCGTCCAAGTTCCTCTATTTTTTTCTAAAAAATGGAGCCCCCCCCCAAAAAAAAATGGCTTTGAAATTCTGCAGTACTTCTTAATTTAGAAGAACTGTAGGTAAACCAGGTTTCTTACCATGGCTTGTGGATGAGGCCCATGGAACCAGCCTTTATAAAATGGGGCTTTCCAGCTCCAGTGTTTTCCAGTCGCCAGGACAGCGCCCCTGATGGTTCCAGCGCGGAAAGCGAACCTGTGGTGCAGCCTTCCCCTAGGAGGTGAACCTGTGGAAAAGATGGGAAAAAAACACCATAAATTGGGTGGTTCAATGAGTTCATGACATGAAATATGTTGGTTAACCTATGTTAAACCTTGTTAAACCGCTAAACCTATAGAAAAAAACTTGGGGTAAATCATCTTAGATCCACCGTTTTGATCCTTAAATTCTACATTGTTGATGCTTAGATCGCCCAACGCATCGCACGTTCGGAGGCCACTTCCGCAGCAGCCTCGTGTCTCTGCGAGTTGCGATCCCAGAGTTACGGTCATGGGCCACGGGCATGAACCCAACGTGATGATCATTGGATTTAATGGGGATTCAATGGATTAACAGGATAATGTCAACCCCGGATTATGCCAAACCATGGTTTATTAATTAGGGGGGGGTACCCTCCAAATAGTCACAATATGGTACATAAATGGTAGCCTCCCAATTAAACAGCCGTAAACGGGGTTTATTAATCCAGGGTTGACATTATATTGATCCGATATATAATGGATTAAGTAGGAAACTAAACTAACTATATACCCTCCGGTAATGAAATGTGGCGTGTGGGAAATCCCCTATGAATGAAGGTTTCTTGCTGGGAAAATCATCGAACTAAATGATGGATTTTCCAGCACGCCATGTTTGATCTCAGGTAAGCAAGAAACACTCAAGAATGAGATGGTTTGATTTGAATTATCACATCCCGCGATCATATGAAATACCTCCAAACGAAACCCCAGTTTATTTCATTGGTGCATTTGATATTGAGTGGATGGGATCAGTAGATATAAAAGCGCATTCGGAATGGGGGTTCCAAGCAACCATCACTGGGAGTTTGCTCTGAGATTCGAAGTTTGGGAATGAACTAATCTTTCATTTTGTGTGAACATCATTCACAAATGGGCCGGATTCCAGATTGACATGGTTGATTATCACTAGAGGGCAAACAGTGAATGAGGAAATTTCGAGCCAAGGGGCAGCTGCCTGGAATTTTACCCATAGTTTTCCGATTCTAAGAGCCCACTACCCATCCTCTTTTTGTGTATCCTCATGTGTCATATGTTCGTCCATTGAATAGCCATTACAACAAGGCTAAAAATGAACTAGTGTGGTAAACAGCTAATAAACCATCCCCAAGTCATCACCATGATTTTGGGTGGTATATATATATATAAACCATACCCAGTCAGAGTAGTAGGTTATGACAGCCAGGGTTGCCAACGCCATACTTTTTACTTTTCACAGTTCTGGCCCTTACCAATCTTACATGGAATGATAACTCCTATAACTAGGATTGTCTGAAAATACGAGGATCTCCCAAATGATAAATTTAAGGGGGAAAAATTATGATCATCCATTGGATTTAGAGGTTTTCCATGTTCAGCTGTTCAGACAAACCCATATCATTTTAAACCTATTCATAACTCTTGGTTGGGTCATATTTTTCAGGCATTCCATATTTCCTCAACCAGTCAATGGCCATTTCAGGAACCTAAATTGGAGGCACCTACCATATGTAAGGCCTAATTTTCAGGGGATATACCCCCAATTCATATGGCCAGAAATATGGTACCAGAAATATACCTCCATTTTAGGATCCTGGAGATCTCCCATTGAACCAGCGGTAGATTTCCAAGGCGCTCCTGGAGCTCCAGTGCTCGGCACCGCCATGGGTGCCCCCTCCCTGGCGCCTGAGGAGTTGTCGGACGCAGGAGGTGCGACCTCTCCGCGACCTTCTCCATGCTTATGATGGGAAATCATAGGGAAATCATAGGGATATGTTTATCATCTATTTCTATGGGCGCTTCCATTAAGCCATGTTCGCCAGAGGCTAAGTCTTTTGATTTGTGAAGTCATCGACGGGCCTCGGCAGGACGACAATCAAAGGACTCAGGGCCACCCCGACCTCCATCGCCGCCGCCGGATGCTCGTTGGGGATCCAAGCCGCGAGCCATGCCTAAAATTCCTGGAGGATATCTGGAGCAAGTCTTGAGATGGATAATGTCAACCCTGGATTAATAAACCCCAAACGGCTGTTTAATTGGGAGGGTACCATTTAAGTATTAGATGAAATGACTAGGAGTACCCCCCTAATTAATAAACCATGGTTTGGCAAAATCCGGGGTTGACATTACAGGATTTACATGTTTTTTTTTTGCTATTCTGCTATTCCTCCATCCTATCGATAGGATAGAGGCTGCCAGGCTTCACAGCCATAAGCTCAGGACATTGGTTACGGTGAACTCCAGGATTTTTTTCACAATTTACCCTCTGGTTAGTTGAAATATATCGACCCCTGAGCCCCCACTACATGTAGCATAGCAGGTAGGTATAGCGTAGTGTAAATAGCGTAGCTATGAGTCCCAATTTAATCCAATTCGTTATTTCTAGCATGGCATACTGTACAGAGTATCCCAACATACCTAGAAGCGTTAGGTATGTTCAATAGCTAGAGTGGCACCACTTACCTTGTTCTATAGGTAAGTAGAGTAGCCTTAGGTAGAGCTAGGTATAGCCCCCAATCCTAACAACCACCTGGGTTGGGGTTTAGGTTATACGCTATCGACCCTTTGGCTCAAGTGCCTTTGCTAGAAAAGGTGCTTGGTCGTTTTTACAGGGTTATGGACGGATTAGGTCACCCTTGTTCTTTTGGGTTGTTCCGGTCGTCCCCCTGTTTTCACTGGTTATCAGCCGTATAGCCGGTTTTAAGGGTAACCTAATCCGTCCATAACTTGGTTTAGGCCCCTGGTACTTTTCGCACTGTTTCGCTCACTGTTGCATGTCCTCAGAAGTGCCTGTGGAGGTCGCTGCTGATTCTAGCGCGACAGCCGAAGCTCCAGCGAACGAGGGCGAGGGAACAGCGGACGCAGGAGAGGTTGAGCTTGCTCCCTGGACTGTGGAAGCAGTGACCAGACCCGTCGTTTCCTGGGCAGACGCTTCTGAGGAGGTCCTTGCATCCGTGCTGTCATCTGGTCTTGAACATCCCGCCGAAGCGGTCCTTGCATCCGTGCTGTCATCTGGTCTTGAACATCCCGCCGAAGCCAAACAATCTCAAGGACTGTCAGGTGAGGTTGAGGAGGAGATCATACAGCCGACAAGCGAGGTGCCTGTAGCTGACGGTTTTTCAGCGGAGGTCGCTGGCGACAACGCCGCGACGGACAGAGTTGCTGGTGAAATAACTTTTTCTGAAGTTTCTGGATTGGAAGAGCGCGCCAATAACCATCTAGAACCTTGCAAACAGGAAGAAGATCAACAGCCACTTAGTTCATCCTCTGCTGGGATAGTTTTTCAAGCTGCAGATCAACTGGAAGGTACCGAAACATCCAACTTAGGTGAAGACGCAGGTGTTGCAGCCGTCATTAAAGCTGAAGTTGACCACAAGAGTCCTGAAGCCGACACATCCGAACTTGCAGCATCCGTCCAACCTGAGACCCAAAACTCAGGTCTTAGTGTAGAGCCAGTTGCAGTAGGATCCCAAGAAGCAACCGAACCAGCCTGTGCATCCGCTAAGCCTGAGGTCGTAGACACAGCCGGTGTCGCGACTGAAACCCCAGGTGTAAGCGTAGACTCAGCCCCCATAGGAGCCCTAGAAGTTTCTAATCCAAAAGCTGAATCCACAGAACCTGGGGTCGCCGACACTTCCGCTGTCGCGACACCCAATAACCAATTAGACACATCTGATTTTGTTGCACCACCCACTATCCCCAACTTAGTTGAGCCTGGTGTTGAACCTATTCGTACCGGTCACTCTCCCTCTGCACCGTCTTCAGGTACAAGACAGCGAACTCGCCAAAGGGGTTCGCGTGGTGGGCAGACCACAAGGAACCAGGAAGCCATCCGGGCCTGGTTTAGTGACTTGGATACTTTTAGGAATTGGTTGTATCAAAATACAGGGGGAAGGTCAAGCCGTGGTTTTTGGTTAAGTAGATATTCTTTGGATAGTGTTGACATTGACCAAAAGTGGCAAGTTGCTAACCACGAAGCTATTGCAAACTATTTGACCACAACCCAGTGTCTAATTTTAACATCTAATCTTTGGCCTGAATACGAAGAGTGGGCTCAATACAACGGTTTAGACCGAAGACGTGGTGTAGGACACGGCCGCCTCTCACTAGAAGCCAGATTGTTGCCTCCAAAACGTATCATTAATCTTAACATATTGGGTAGTGAATATCCTCCTCAAGAAAGTTGGGATTATTACAATAGATACGTAGGCCCCAACGCTCCCGCGAGATCCAAAGCTCGGGCCGCTGCCCCGGCTTCGGCTGGTGGCGCGGCGCCTGTGCGACCTCCAGAACCCAAAGAGCCGCCCAAAGCTGCACAGCAGCCGAAGGTGCCAGCACCTGCCTGGCAGCCCAAATTGCGTTCTACAGATCAAGTTGTACAGCAGTCCGAGCCCGGTAGTGTCCACGAATCACCGTCCACCCGTTCGTTGCCAAAGCAATCGCGAGGGGTCGTTGCTCCCAAAGAGCGCGACACAACAGTAGTTTCTTCTGAGGGTTCCAATATTGCTCCACCGACCGTAGCAGTCCCAAAAGTTCCCAAAGATAAACCTGTTGTTGTAAAGCCCTCGCCACCACCACCAAAGCAGCCGCAAGGGGTCGCTGTTCCCAAAGAACGCGACGCAACAGCCATTGCATCCGAGGGTTCCAGTAGTGCTCCAGTAGGTGTAGTCACTCCGAAAGTTCCTAAGGTTGAGCCTGTTGCAAAGCCTTTGCAGCCGCCAAAACACCAGCAAGGGGTCGCTGTTCCCAAGGAACGCGACACGACAGTGACCGCAGCCAAAGCATCCGGTAGTGCTCCACCAAGTGCAGCCGTGCCTGAAGCTCCAAAAGCTGATCCTGTTGTAAATCCCTTGCCAAAATCTAATAAACCCAAAGGAGTCGTTGTTCCCAAAGAACACGACGCATCAGCCACTGCGCAAAAGGTTTTAGATACTACCCAAATAATTGAAGTAGTCCCTAAGATTCCCAGTAGTCCAGCTGTTGTAAACCCTTTGACTAAAGCTAAGCTCCCATCACCCCCAACATCACCACCATCTATAGTCCCTTCTAATATTCCACCGCCGCCACAACATCCGCCGCCAGCACCAGAAGAGCTCGCCGCGCGAGCTCCAGCTTTTGCCAAGGCGCGCGAGACAGTGGTAGGGAATCAGGAGGAAGAGGAGGAGAGTTTTGAGGTTGAAAGTGAGGAGGAGCCGGCACCTGTTGCCAAAACTGCATCTCCAAGGGAGAGGCACACCAAAAGAAATAGGTCCAACCCACCTTTGCCTGTTAATCTTTTGTCTAGAGAAGCCAGGGAGCAGATCGAGCTTGCTCGTGAGCTCCGTGCTGCTGGTTATCCTGACACACGCCTAGATTCAGCAGGAACTTGGGTGCGGGTCGTCGGACCTTCGGTCGCGACAGCTGCAGAGCGTCCAGTTGCCCATCCAGTGGTAGTTCCAGGAACTGAAGCTCGAGACGTTAGGGACATTGACCCTTACGAGCTGGAGGACGCCGCCTGGCAGAATCCATCCTTGAGCTCTCGTCGGGTTGTGTTGGTCACTCCAAACTTGCAGTCTTCGGACATTGTAAATTTGACCACACGTGATCCTGACACCGAGGAAGAAGGCACAGAAGACCCTGCATTAGCATCGCAAAGATTTCAAGAGACTGGTAGGAACTTTATTGCAGCGGCCAGCGCCGAGCCTATTGAAGCCGACCCAGTAGCTTTTGAATCGCGACCACCTAAAGTGCCACCCCCAAAGAGGCAAAAGGTAACCATAAAGCCAAAATCAGCAGCATCGTCGCCAAAAGACACCTCAGAGCCCTCACGTAGGTTCCCACAGGACATTGTCCATCCGTGGAGAAGGCAAGAGGGTGCTGTGGCAGAATCTCCAAAATCTGCTGCCTGTGGGGTCGCTGCGGAACCCCGCGCGACGGGTGCCGTTGACAGGTCTAGATCCCCAAGAAATTTAACATCTACACCCTCCGAACCAGTCCAACATAGCTCATCACCTGTTAACCTAAGAGGTAGATCCCCCATTAAAAGTGGTAAGGAGCCATTGAGACCCCCTCCACCGAAGAGGGCAAGTTCTCAGCCATTGTCATCAGCTACCGTAAAAAGGACTGCTAGGGAGGCTGTTGCTTCCGGCACACCTCAGGTCACTGTTGCAAAGGCCAAAACAAATAAGGCTCCCCCACCGGGCGTTCGACCAGGAGCTCCTCCGCCAAAAGCTAGGCCAGCTCCAGCCCCACCAACTAAGCCTGGACTCCCCCGAAAAGCACCTTCTGGCCACCTTCCCTATAAGGCGCCACCTGGGTACTTGAAGGAGCAAGCTTCTAGTGGAAGGGCATTCTTGGGAACAGCTCCAACAGAGCCAAAAGCAACTGCTGGACAGGCAGAAGGGGCTGCTGCCGCACCTGTGGCGCAGCGGGGTGAAGAGTCGAGCGGAGCTCCAAGTGCACCTTCGGGTTCGCACGCTCCCTACTCTGCCCCTGTAGATTCAGTGCCTGGCAATATCAAAATTTGTCTCGATTGGCACGATACGCTTGACCAAGCGTTAAACCACCAAGGCTCCTTTGATCAACACCTAATTGATAAATTCAATAAGGTAATCTTAGCAGCAAATAACAGGGTCGAGTTCCATATCCTTTCATACGCTGGATTTAACAAGGTTGAGTCCACCCGCCAAGGCGCGAACCACTTAATAAATCAACTAAAATCCCTAGGCCTCCCCTTTGAGCAGTTGCACCTAGCAAAGCATCCTTGTGGAGCCCAAGGGAAAAGCAGCGTGCTATACCAACTTGGTGCGCATTCTTTGGTCGACGATCGTTCCGACGTAGTTGCTGAGTGCTCCCATTCTGGTGCCCGTTGTTTTAGGGCTGCTGGCAGGCACGACCGTGCCCTGTCCTTCCTTACCTTAGTTGAAGAGTGGGTCAAGCAAGAAGG